TTTCAAGTACACACCATGTGAGGTGAGTCACCCCCTACACCATATGACCACCCTCACCCCAATGCTCAGCATAAGAGTTTTTTCGTATCCAATATTTTCTTCCAGATTCATCCTGATCAAAGCCTACAAGCAGCACTGCATGATGAGCCCACTTTTTTTGTTCATTTGCAAGCTGCAACAGGGTCGGAGCAGGGAAACCTTCAATGTGAGTATCCCACTTGTGTATCGTCTGAAACTGTCATTCGTCACAATCTCAACAACAAGCGGGTTGACGAGCAAGGCTTTCTGAAAAAGCATTGATATTTGGAGCCACGGCCATCCCACCACTAATATTAGCTACCTTTTCTAAACCAACATGCTTAAATTTCTTGTATCGCTTGTGCAGAGATTCCTTCTCCATCTTGGGATCAACGTTCCAAAATGTAAAAATGTAAAGTTGACCCGCATAGCAACTGTCGTTTCTCCCACAAAGGTCACAGTCAACGAGTTGTTGCACAGACAACTGCCCCATAATCCATGTCTTGATGTTGTGGAATCCCTCGCTGCCCATGGTCGAGGTGATATAGCAGCATCCACATTTTTTCTGATCTCTAACATCAGTTACAACCTATGTTCCCGCCAGTCGAATCTTTTGGGATTATCGGAGCCACTGAAGTCATTCATGAACACTTTTGTCAAGTTGTGTCGTTTGAAAAAAATCTTCCTTGCCTGAAAATATCTTCCGCATGTGTCAATCTAAGTATATAATCATGTTACCACTAGGAGACCTATGGCCAGCTTGGTGGGGGGGGGGGCATTGCCCCCAGCCTTGGAACATTTTGTAAAGAATGTTTGTTATGAAGGGCTTAGATTAGAAACCTTTTGCTTTATTAATTGGATTAGGGAAAGCGTAGGGGATGAGCTTGAATCTTAGGAGGTGTTTGGTTGAGAAAAAGGTAAAGCAAATGGTGACGTAATCATAATACGATGGTAACAAAAACAAAAACAAAATATGTTTTGTTTTGTGGACGTAAACGGAATGGAAAAATTCGAAAGAGTCTGAAAAGCGAAATTGGTGCCTCTGCTCCTCTCATATCCAGCCGTCAACTTCTCCGTTGTGACGTGGAGAATGAGGAGACGGTCCACGATGGCCATCCCGGCTGCGTCACCCCACCCCAGTTGTGTGTTGGCGCACTTCCACTGGCGGAGGCGCCACCGCGATCCATGCTTCATGCATGTTGCAGATGCACAATCAAGAACCATACCAAATAAGTGGGTGCTCAGTCACTGACATGCATATCGTCCCCTCATGGCCTCACAAGTCACAACCTCCTCGCCAACAGGAACAAGAACGTTCTCACCGGCCAGGTCAAACGCCTTCTCACATGCCAAAACCAAGCCGATCACGGCCGATGTTGGAGGACCTTCTCGCAGGAGGCCACTCCATGGAGGATGGGTCGACATGGGAAGGAGACATGCCTCGTTACCTAGGGAAGCCGAGGAGGAAGGTGCAGGCGCGGCGAGAAAATGACTTCCTCTCTGCCTCCGGTATCACCTTTGTTAGAGGAGATCTTGGGCGGTATTAAATAGATATGTATACGATTTTGTGGTAACTAATTACGAGCCAATGTAAACGAGACAACCATATCATTTTCAAGTTGGAGGCAATCCGCGAACCAAACACCTCTTTAGATGTACAAGTGCACCTCTACGAATTTGGGGGAATCTCGGTGAGGATTTCTTTAGCAAAAAACAAAGTAGAAGAGAAGGCAGCTTTACTTTTTTCTTTTTTGAAGACAACCTATTGGTCTATAGAAACTATCACAGAAATGTTTGCTTGTGCAGGAGGAGATCCCAGCCACAAGTGGCGCCCCAAATTAAGAGCAACACAAAACCTAGCAAGGTTGTGAGAATCAACATCTGTGCTCCTAGTTTCAAACATGAAATCACAATGAATAAAACAAGACTGCCCAGTGATAAGCTCCTGATTTATAGCTCCTGTTTCTCCCTTCGCCTTCTTATATCTGACATGGCATTCAAGCAATCCGAGACAACCGACAGCTTCTGACAATTCAAATTTTGACAATCCCTATCGGAGGTGCCTACTGCCTTCCATACCGGGTGTTGGACTTGTTGAGTTTCTCCTCTTCTCTGTACATTGCTTGTTGATGAATTTGGCCTTATTATCTGCTCCCTCTTTTAAAATACAAGGTGTATTGATTTGTTTAAAAATCAAATGTTTTTATGCTTGCCCAAGTTTGTATTAAAATATAGTATAATCTACAAAACTAAATATAAAATATAAATAAAATTGTTATTATCTACAATGATAATTTTCCTCTATAAACTTGGTCAAAATTCAAGAAGTTGGACTTTAGAACTCAACATCAGCCCACTGAATTTAAGTACACACAAAGCGCAGTACTTGTGGCAAGCTGCTATTTGCAATGTGTAAAAACACTAGCACACTGTAATACTTCATACACATGAGTCTTTGAATACACACTTGACAATTCCATTTCCCTTCGATCCTTGGCAGCACATTTTAAGAAATACATCGCTTTTTGAGAGGGACAAATATAATCAGCCAGATTAGAACGAATTGCAGTTGAAAATGACAAAAACTACTCAAAACTGGGATGCTCAGAGACAAGAATCAGGAGCGATTAGCCTGGTAAAAATCGCCAGCGCCAAGGAAAACATGCTTCCCTAGCAGCAGATCAATTGGGGGATAGCCTTCGATGCACTTGACCGTAATCTGCAAGAACAAAGTCAAAACATATAATAAGAGTCAAAGGATACACATCATGAACATCGTTACAGCGCTGTAGATTCCCTACCTTGCCATTTCCAGTCTGGAATTCGTTCTTCAATCTGGAAATGGACCTCGACAGCAAATACACTCTCAACGCCTCAACGTGGTTACTGTTGCCTGTTCCATTCAAAGTCACACATACATCATTCACATGATTTCTCGGACAATGCATGGCTGCTTTGGAACTGCCCCCTTGAAAAGAAACAGGGGTATTTAATTACCTGAGGCGTAGGAAAGGAGATCAGCTGCGAGCACAGGCATGCATCTTGCAATGTAGATGACAAATGACATGTCATGTACAGTATGAGACTCCTCGCAGATGACAACCTGCAAACCCCACAATGACATTGCAATGGAAAGCGTTACAGCCATTTCAAATTACTACAGCACCATGGTGCTTACTATTTTCAGCAAGCCAGTTTGTACGATGTATACGAAATAAATGATAACCAATGACAATGTAAACCGACTACATGATAGGATCAAAAACGTAACAGCACAAACACGGCCCAGCTGCTTATGCTCTCAATGTTGGTCAACAATCCAACCTCTGGTCAACTTTGGTGTTTATTATGATGTGAAACCAAATTTTTAATTAGTCCAATTACCAGAGTCTGCTAAAGAAGAAAGTATATACCTCCAGTGTACAGTAAACTATTGAGATACTTCAACAAAAAAAACTATGAGTAAACGTATTAAAAATTTTAAGTGGTTTACTAGGATGTGCAATTTAAATTGATCTGATGATGACTGATATAGGTTTTAAAGGTTGAAAATCCAAGCTCACCATATCTGATGTTGCCGCTGCCTTTGGAACTAGTGAATTACCAAGCACGTCCCTAATATACTGATCCTGCACACAATAATAATAATAGCTTTCGTAAAAAAAATGTTCCAGACTCTGAAACAAGAAACTTTATCTGAAACAATTCAACAGACCTGTGACTGCAAAATTTGTTCAAGTGTATTGCTGTTCTTGTCTACAGACTCATAGTACACATCAATTAAGTCTGTAGGTTCAAGCTGAGCAGTCTTCCGTAATTTCTGGATTCTGTTTACAACCTGAAAAGGGTTGCTCATGAATTAGGAGACCAGACTGTTGACTGTTCATCAAAACAAAACTAGTGAATTTCCAGCATGATGTGTGTCAGACAAAATTATTGAATTTTCAGGCATCGAGAAAATGAACCTATGTGATAGCAGACACAAACGTCTATTGTAAATTAACCAAAGACCAACACAATCTGTGTGAAACACAAACCCAAGAGCACCAATCCTATACAAAGGAGAAAAAAAGACTACCTCTCGAGCCACCCCAGCTTCGATCAATGATTGATCGGCTCTGAGATCCAAAATGACCAACACATCACCTATAAAACAAGATATTGATGTTATCCATAATAACAAAACTATTAGAATGAAGTGACATATTTATGGCGTACCATCTCCCGCGGCATCAATTTCCTTCTCTGATACATCCACAGGACGCTTGAACTGTCGGACCACCTAATAAAGATACAAAGTTAAGCAGGTAAATTTCAAAGACATGGTGAAAAGCGATGCAGTGGGTTCAGCGCCAAAACTAAAGTTTAACTTCATGAAGGGTCATGACTCATGAGCTTATGATAATTAGGAAGGAACGCCATGTATTATCCAGGCATTCAAGTAATTAGGAATCTTATTTCACATCTTACTGAATACAAAAATCAACTAACACAAGTTTGAGGAAAATTTAACTACACAATATCACAGATGTATCTTCTTGAGATAAACTGAAACTTTTCAATTCCCATATCTGCTAGGAATAAATCACGTCTTAAAAATGATGACCTGAGACTGAAGCATGTAATATTACCTTAATATCGTCTAGCGTCAGGCAATGACCAAGGAACGAAATCTTTCCGCTTTGCTCAAAGGATAAGATTTGCTCCTGGGTCATTTTCTTCACTTCATTTGATACTTTGCCCATGTCCTTTCCTAGTCTTTTACCTAGCACACTGAGAAAACAAAAGGTACTGAGCAATGCGTAAAAATGGCAACAATTCTCGTGCATTTAGGAATACATACCTAAAATTGGGTTCTGCCCGCAGAGAAGCATACTTCATGGGATCATTACATGGAGTCACAGTCTTAACATTCATCTCCTCCATGACATACTACACAGTAGAAAGTATATTGTTTCAGCACTAAACACTAACACTGAGCAAAGAAAGACTACACGTAATGAAAACTAAGCAAGTATTTAAGGCAGTTACATAATTTCAGAACAAAAAAGATTACAGGTATATCTCTGAGTTTTGGCTTTATGAACAAACCTCTTTCAGTTTTCCAGTGATGTCTTCAAGAAATTCACTGTCAGGGTGAACAACCACCATCTCCCTGAGATTTTAAATTGGTTAAGCAACGATAGTATGATGCCAAACAGAACATGTTTTTTAGAATACATGTTGAATAATAAACTGAATTGCAACTTGGACCATCTGATATTGACACATACACTATTCTTCGAGTTGCTATATAACTGTACCAATGCTATGACAACTACCACAGGTATTCTTCGGCTTGGAAATACAAGGGAATTCAAAAAATACAACTAAAACTCAACATGCTATGACAACTACCACATCCAAAAAGAATACAGACTTATATTGTTGAGAAGACGAAAAGCTAATACCAAAATATGCACACAAGGAAAAAAAATCCTTGAAATTATCTTTTATCATTACATTGCAGCAATCTGCAGGAAAATACAGATGGCATAATACAATGACAACAACCTAACCTAAATGTCCCTACATAAAAACAGTTACAGAAAATTAAATCATGCAAATGGAGTCAAGACCTACTTCAGTGGCGTTTTGAGAGCTTTGCTGTGCCGTTCCCGAATATTGCGCGCAAGATCAATGATGGTCATCATCCTAGTTACACTTCGCTCAACACGCTCATCTCTCTGATCATGTGGGGAAACAAACAGAAAATGAGCTTAAGTAACATATAAGAAAACAAAGTACTTTCCCCATTTCTAGTTATAGGGCATATTTTGGTAGAGCACATAGAATAAGAACCCTCCAAAGTACGCACGGCAGAGGGCAGAAGTACCCCAGTACCCTTTAATTACGATATGAGCTGTGCATGCAATGAATAGAGCTTGGGACATTTCAGTGTGCAAAAAAGAGAGAGAGAGATTGAGAGAGAGAGGGAGAGATGACGAGAGAGTTGTTGAGACATCTATGCATGTTGTAGGACAGTGAGAGAGAGAGCATTAGAGGGTGATGTGGGTAAATAAAGCTTTATAGCTTCTTTGGTCCTTGTGTTCACCTTATATAGTGAAAAATATAGAAGGAAACTATGTGCAGCGTAAAAAGAGTTGGAAAGAGTGAAGACTGTTTGGTGAGAAAATTTTACCTCCCCAGTTGTGGAAGGGAAACTGCAAAAATGAATGCTCTGCTCTGATTTACTTGACGCTTTCCGCAGATTTTGGTAAAGAACTTCAGTAAAGAAGGGCGTAAATGGAGCCATCGCCACACAAGTTGTTACAAGTGCCTACATAATTCATGGTTAAGATGCCTTAGAGAACCGTAGAGAAAAACAACAAAAGGTGCATTTTGCATTAGCAGTAATCAGCAGGAACAAAATCATCAGAACACCATCTGCAGACTAGTCAGTAGAACACCTTAAGAGGTTTTTAATATATGAATACGGCACTGAAGGATTAAAATTCCACCACTGCGTCAACAATTTGCAACTGTATATTGCTAGATATTTACTTACATGGTAGAGAGTTGAAAGAGAAATTTTGCAGTCTTCTTCTCCAGTACGTCCTTTTAACCGTTTGCGGTTGAAGCGCACATATATATTGGTAAGATTGTCAATGTATTTTACCAAATATGGCACAACCTGAAGGGATAAACTAGCTATCAAATTTGGCCATAGCATGGGAAGATGAAAACATGACCAAGTAAAATATCCAGAAAAAACTACCGTGTAAAGCCGATATGCATCCATCTCCTGATGAACAAAGCTAACCAGACTTTCAGTTGCAGAATGTATCCAGTGATCTAATACATTGGATGACTTCCGAAGTGAAGCTTGATCAATTGGAGAAAATGCTGTCAAACCCTCAACTTCAAGCCTCTTTGCATTTTGGACAAGAAATCTATAAGCATTATACCATGGGAGGAAGACATCTTTCACCTGACAAAATCAAAATATGTTAAGCGAGAAAATGTACTCTTCATAAAGAAACCATATAAATGGAGGATACGATAATTGACATAATCTACATGCAGACCAGTAGCCTGAACATATATTAATATAATGGAGCCTAACATGTTGAAAAGACACTTACAACACCAAAAACACCAATCCTTTTAAATCGTAGAGACTCCGCACGTACAACTGGAGAATTCACCAAATACAGTCTTAAAGCATCCTGCAAAAAGGAAATAACTCAGACAAATTACACAATCACAAGCCTTGAGAGCTCCAAATGCATGTAGGTTCAGACAAAACAGTGATACTGTACACACTAAAGCATCAGTTATATAAGTGAAAACTGAGCAGCAACCATGGACTTTCAAATAGACACCACTTACCGCTCCGTATTCATCAATGACTTCCATAGGTGAAGGGTAATTCTGTTTACTCTTGCTCATTTTCTTCCCATCCTCTGCCAAAACAAGACCATTGCATATAAGATTCTTAAAAGCAGGCTTCCCAAATAATGCCGTTGATAACACCATCAAAGTATAAAACCTGCAGGATGAAGTCAAAACATGAATGAGGTGAGATGGTAACATGAATGAATAGCACATGAAGAAAAATATACTACTCAATTAATTTGAGACTTACCCTTATAAGTGCATATTTAAAGTAACATATTAATATGCATTTTAGACCAATGGAAATGAAGTTTCTGCCATTAATAAGTATAAGGAACTGTGTACTCATTCATTTTGCCCATCAAAACCTCAAAAAGAAAAGGTAGTGACAAGTGACAACTGTAAGAGCACGGCAGTATTTGATAAGTGAAGCCAGATTATTGTTACAAATTCACCAAGTACAACATGAAATAACAAGTACTGAATTTTTCCCCCCCAAAAAAAAGGATGCCAAAAGGCGATTGACCAAAGAGGAAAAAAAAGGGTATCCTAGATGATGCCAATAGACATAATTCATGTTGATCTTACAGTTACAGTCTTATTTTTGGAATAACAGCTCTCTCTTCTGCGCAGAATATCAGGATTTTAAGCCAAGTATTGTAAAGAACTAGCCACGATATTTAGCTCTTTTTTTGTGGTGCTGCGTATTTTGTTAGTTTGGGGGCCTAGGTATTGCTATGCTGTGCATATTTTGGGCTGGTCTTGAAATTTTATCTTTGCCAAATTAATCTGAATATTCCATGTTGTTTTGATGCCAAACAAGATTTTGATCACATGAGTGGTGAACGTAAGGACTGGAATGAATAGCAAAGGCCCTTAAAAATCGTATTCATTGGCAAGAACATGGTAACAATAACTGTAAATCAAAGATTCTGAAGGGAGTAGCGAACCATCCACGTGTTTGGTCCAAGCCCTCAGCCACAAAGTTCCCAGGGAAATTCTTCTCAAATAGTTCACGATTCTCAAATGGATAATGAATGTAGGCATATGGCATGGACCCACTCTCAAACCAGCAGTCAAAAACCTGAAGGCATCACAACCGTTGCTGAATGAGAACCAGTAAAAATGAATACATTGATATGCAGTCCCAAACATTCACACATATATGACAGTTGACAAGTAAACTCATAATCTTGGAATGAATAAGCAGCAATAAAAAATAATCTTAAGAAATGCAATAGAATATTTAGCAACAATAATAAAATAAAATCTGTAAAATGTGTGGGGTTCTCACATAGACATTCCAAAGATATTACTTAATCAAGTCTAAGAAGGCAATTCCATTACTTGACTGACATATACGATTTATTTTCAAACCCATATTATAGATTACAGAAATATTAATTAGCATCTAGATGACCTTAAATCTACTATCCATGATCCACCTTTGTCGCATTCCCTTTTCCCTACAAATCCAGCCTCCCTTATACTTCCTCCTAAGCCTCTATTTCTTAATTATATTAGTAAGGACGGAGTTCGACGAAGTTTCTACTGAAACAGATAGAACAAAGTAGGAGTACAACATAAATGTATACGATCAGAAGGTAGGAAAAAGGTACTATGCGTCAATATAAAAGAATATGTACTGGACAAGTGAGGGTAAGGCATCTAATTGTGGGTCGAAATGAACTTACATCCTCAACGCGCTTGAGAACCCCAAACTCTGGTCCTCTGCTAGAAGGAATTGTAATATCATCAACATGGTGGCGGTGAAGATCATTAACCTGAGCACACACAAAAATAAGAATGCTTCCAGGAAGTTCGCTATTGTTTCAATTTTTCAATTAAAATAGAATGAAATCAAAAGAATATTATATCCAGCCACAAATAGCACAAACAAATATTTGAAATCAATTAAAATAGAATGAAATCTATCTTGCACAGTAGAGATATTAACCTTGACGCCAGATAATCTTTCAAGTTTCTCAATGGAATCCATAACTACAATTTCTTCACCATCTTGGCTGATCCACACTGGAAGTGGAGTACCCCAGAATCTACTTCTGCTAACAGCCCAGTCCCTAGCACCTTCTAGCCAGTTATGGAATCTCTTTTCCTGCACACATTCATTGTTAGCAAAGAATTATTGGTCAAACATACTGTACCACATCATCTTTCACCTTTCATAACTATTAGCACGACCTTTCAACCAAATTGGCCTCTCCAAGCAGTTTCATAACATTCAACTAAATTGTATACAAATATTTAGTGCAAATACTGGAAACAGGGACTGGCATCAAACTCTTGACACTTTTTTAGTGCAACCAAATGACATAAATTTCAGAAGTCACATCACTTCCAAAATTTTAGTTCAAACTCTTGACACTGGAAACAGGGTAGGGAATAGAAATTGTTATAGCGACAATGCGTACATTGATGGAACAACCAAGAGAGCTGCAGGTACATATCCAAATGAATAAGGATATTTAAGCAAATTGGTGGAAAGTGTCAGATTTAGCGGTCATTCCATATGTATGTTAGTATACATGATCAAGTGGCTAAGAAGGGTACATCCATACGACGTCTCCGTAACCTGACAGCACTGTCACAGCTAGAAATGGTAACACACCTTGACATAATCTGGAACCCAGTAGGTCTCCTTGTTGCATTCTAGTAACTGATCCCTGATCTTTTCAACCTTGATAAACCTACAGAAAATCTCTATCAAACCTATACTCAATAAATATAAGTAATGCAATTGGGAAACTGTGATGGACGTAAAAGCGGAGGAACACAGCTAACAAAAGGTGAACACAGAAGATTCAACAGAAAGCATATCATGTAATGATGAAGTCAGATTTCATAAAGGGATTGCTCCATGTGGTAAGAAGAACGTAAAAATGGATTCTGGTATCAGGTGTACTTTAGAATTAGGAAAGACAAAGCCTTGGTTGCTAACTTAAAAGCAGGCAAAACAATGAATGTGCGCATTGTGGAATTCACATATAGAGGGAAATAAATTTAGTCAGATCACAATCAAATTTATTCACATCTCACGGAAGAAACTTAAAAAAACAACCGATGATTTGTAGCAAATATAGGCTCATATATACACACATTTGAGGTGAGTTCCCCTGTAACAATCTGAATTCTAAGACAAAATAAAAGAATGTCCCGCCCCAAATAGCATGTGTTTCTTGTGGTGTGTTAGCTCATGTACAACAGAAGTTATCGCCAGTCAGCACATAGACAAAATAATTTGCACAGTAGTAATAGAAGATGTTTACCAGCTTGGAACAGCCCGGTAAATAAGAGGAGTGCCCGAGCGCCAACAATACGGATAAGAGTGCTCAATGCTCCCTTTGCTAACAAGTCTTCCTTTATCCTGTTCATGTAGATTATCAATTCTAGGGCCAATATAAACTATCCAACTTATGCAATAAACTTTACTGAGGTGCCTTCAAAACAATGCACAGTATTAATCTAAAATAACAAGACAAAATATGTTGACAAAGTAAAGCACGCTCATGCCTGCGGTCTACAGCGTACACTACCATAGGTTGAGATGCTCATGCTATGCACCTGATTTCCTTTTGCTTGGATCTCTTGGAAGGTTATCCCAATGAGAAATATGATAATACATCAAGAAGTATGCACAAGCTTATAAGATTGTAAAATACTACTGTCCAAAACTTTATAATGATTATTAATGTCTTGTGCAACTAGATTAGAACCCAACTCCAAAATCTGTATGGTAGTTACCAGTAATGCTGAGCAAGCAACTAAATGCACATGTGTTATTAACAGCTAAGATGCCATTGAACTCTAGAAAAACAACTTACCTTAACAGCATTGATGATATCCTTGTCAGCCTCTTTGACATGTCGCCCTTTGAACTGAGATATCTTCTCAATGAAGTGACCATCATCATCAACAGCGACAACAAGTCCACTAGCCTGGACGGAAGCAGACAACATCAGACAGAAAACAAAGAACATTCAAGCAAGTCCTGATCGCAATAGATTAGATGTGAAAGATGCATGCAACTTTGATTGCTTTTGGTTAAAAAAGCAACACATGACATTGCAATCTAGAAAACTACATTGATCAAACAAATAGTACAAGCGTTAAAAGGCAGCCCCTTGAAAAGTTCGTTAACTAGGCATAACAGGCTGCAAAACTACATGGTAGAAGGCATGCAATAAACAGTGGGGGCACAGCATAGAAGAATAAGATAGATGAATCAGATAACACTATTAAATGCTTGGGAGAACACATAACAATGTTCTTCAAGACAAACTATGGACATTGAGAAATATTGCATTATTATACACTACCCAATAATTTTGGCATACAAAACAAGTACTCCATCCGTTCACTATTATAAGATGTTTTGGATAATTTAATATGGACTACATACGGACTGAAATGAATGAACAAACACACTAAGAAGTGTCGATATATATCCGATTCAGAAAAAAGTTAGAACGCCTCATAATAAATAGTGAACGGACGGAGCAGTTCACATGGTCTACTATTTTCTCTCAGCCCCCAAGGCCTTAGCAACACATCATGTTAATTACAAAATATTCAAATAATATCAGAGAACTATTCCAACCTCAATAATTCCAGCACTAAGGCAAACGCGATGATCATCTTCACCAAATGCAGGAGCACAATGGACAACACCGGTTCCACTATCATCAGTCACATAGTTATCGGCAATCACCCTAAAGGCAGTGTCTTGAAGCTCCAAGAAAAAATCAAACAGAGGAGTGTATCTGCGACAAGAGAAAACCACAGTAAAGACATAGAAAATCTCTAGATAGGCTATGAAATTCTTGATAGGTGACAATAGAACGGGAATTTGTCGACCAGTTGCAAAATTCCTAATAGACTGAACGTTAAACACAATGTATCTGTGGACTAGTCAACCAAACCCATATATCAAAAAGAAGAAATTTCTAAAGATTAAACTTGAAAATCCAAAAATAAAGTGGTGTGGATTGTTTAGCTCTGCCAAATATTAGCACTGAAGTCTGACAGGAACAACATGTGACTACCTAAGGAGCATTGTTAAGTATTATCTCCATTCCGAATTATAAGATGTTTTGGATATTTCAATATGGACTACTACGGACTGAAATGAGTGAACAAACACACTAAAACGCGTCTATATACATCCGATTCAGAAAAAAGTTAGAACATCTTATAATTTAGAACGGAGGTAGTAGTTACGAATACCTCCAGGTATAAAAAGCGATAATGTAAAAGTACTTTCCTTATATTACTGATAAACAAATCCCATGGCTAAGACAGAAATAGAAGATAACTCACTTTAGGCCTACTAGGCTTGAGCCAGGAATCTTCGCCAATAATTCATATGATTCAGTATCCAAACCACCCTGGACAGCTTCAGCATTGCTTCCCTTAGAAGGTGCTTGTTTCTTTCCAGAAGCTTTGGCTTTAACTGGCAACTGCCCGAGCCTACTTTCTGCAATGATGTATACTGTTCCATTTGACTTGTCCTTAACCTGGCAACACAGCATGCATCCTCAAAACAGAAACAAAAAGCATAGCGCAAGTAGAGAAGAGCCTCAAAAACAGAACTCTCTTGTGCACAATGACTTAAAAGTGATCTGCATGCATGGTCACATGGAGCAAAATAGACAGGCGGTATGACAAATATGCCTTTCATTTGCAGCAAACTAGATACAGTTATCACAAAAGGAGATTAATTATATCAATATCACTGTTACAACATAACTCAATTAAGAAGAGTTAAATAGCCTTTGTGTACGAACATTAGGAAAATGTGCAATTGGCATTGCTGGAAGGTATATGCTTCTCAACAATGGTACTGTGATACATGAGGCATTAGCAAGAATTGGCAAGGAGAATTTTGTTTTTGGAAGTTGCGGCAATATCCAGGTATCCACTATATAAAGACACTAATAGCATGCATTGCACATGCAAGAGCATTGCAGACAGAGAACAAGGCATAGTAATTTAAGAATAAGATAAAGTGAATACTTGTAATCTACCATACATTACATAATATGAAAGCAGCTGATTCATCAAAAAAAAAATGAAAGCAGCTGATTGACAAGCTCATGTTAGCCTTGCATTATGCCGTACTTTAGATAAACATCCAAGGTTAATAGCTTGAGGTTGTTTGAGTTAGAAAATTTCTCGGTATCTTCAGTTTTTCGTTGCATTTTCTAATTTGTTTTCGGTACAGCTCTGCTCCTTGCAACGAGGTTTTCAAGTGTGGACTACTGTTAACAGTCAGGAAACTCAACAACAGTCGGTAGCATTACAAATATGAACAAAAAATACCCAGAAAAACAGAGGAGTGCTAACCTTGGCATACACAAGATTGGCATTGACACACAATGCTAGGTTGCTTGGGAGTGTCCAAGGCGTTGTAGTCCATGCAACGAGAGCTGCATTGTCCGCATCACCAACAACAGGGAAAGACGCCATCACTGCTGGGTCTGGGACGGTCTATGACATGATTAAAGAGATGGTTACTACAAGCTGCAACAACAGACTAGGAGTATGAGCTAAACCAGGAACAAAGTTGATCAATTACTCACCCTATAGTCCAGGCCTGCCTCGAAGTTTGATAGTGCAGTTTTGCAACCTGTGCTGTAAGGCATCACCTGGAACAAGAACAAGAGTTCAGGACGATTTGAATTTCAAGGGATTCCTTACAACCAATTAAGGAAGAAAAGGCTATAATCACCAACACTATGTGTGCCTTCCATTTTTCTTCTTTTCGAAAGAATAGGGAGGCAAGTTCTACAGAAACAACACTTGCTTCCCATAAGAGGGAATTTCAACGCAACAAATACATTTGAATCAATGCACAATTTAATTTGTTAGTGGCAAGTGGCAACCCCGCCCCAAAGGCCACAAACACACACAACCCCCAACTCACCAGTCACCGCACGAGAAATGGAGCATTTGCTATGCGGTTACCGCTCTATGTCATCAGAACAGGAACAGCATTAGCTGTGAAATAAGAAGCAGCTTTTGTCCACCATTTCTAGACATTGGCTACTTAATCTTCTTACTGACACATAACAGAGATTGCAATGTCATTCATAACAGTTGACGGTTGCAGTGTGATTCCAATTTCAGACATAGATATCCCCAAATTGAAAGCAAATCAGACAATTAGATGCGGTTGCACAGTTCTGAACATAAGAAATTTCCATTTCCATGGAGCGTAAGCTTGTCCATACCACGCTCTAGAAGTCTGGACTCGGAATTAGGCAAAGGAAGCACAGATTCAGTGAGCGAGGCTCTACCTTGAAGCCCTTGTAGACGAGGTCCTTGTCCCAGAGCTGGCCGAAGACCCACCAGACGGTCTCCATGAAGTTGATGTCCATGGTCTTGTAGTCGGCCTTGAAGTCGATCCACCGGCCGGTGCGCGTGACGACGGCCTCCCACTCGGCGACGTACTTGGTGACGATGCCGCGGCAGGTCTCGTTGTACTTGGCGATGCCGAGGTCGAGCACCTGCTGGCGGTTGGTGATGCCGAGGAGCTTGTCGATCTCGAACTCGACGGGGAGGCCGTGGCAGTCCCACCCGAAGCGCCGCATCACGTGCCGCCCCCGCATCGACTGGTGCCGGGTCACCACGTCCTTGATGGTGCCGGCGAGGATGTGGCCGTAGTGCGGGAGGCCGGTCGCGAAGGGGGGGCCGTCGTAGAAGATGAACTCCTCCCCGCCCTCCGTGCGGCGGAGCTGCTCGTGGAAGGCGTCGAGCTTGGACCACAGCTCGAGGACGCGCTGCTCCTCCAACGGGAAGGAGAAGTCCTTCCCCTCGCACACGTCCTCCATGGCGGCGGCGGCGGCGGCCTCCGCGCCGGCGGGGAGGGCGGGGGCGGGGCTAGGGTTTGGGGGCGACGCGGCGGTGGTGGTGGCGGCGGCGGGAGGGAGGGAGGGGGAGATGGGGGACGCTTTGGAGTTGGGACGGAGAGGGGGAGAAGGGTTTAGGGGTGGGGTTCACGTGCCGCGCGCGTGCCTCCTGCCGTCGTCCGTCGTCCGTCCCGGGGAACTTTTCAATTCGGTCCCTCGTTCGGGAGGAGTGGAGTGCAAGTCACGGAACATTTTTGTAGTGCTACCGTGCATACTACCATTCCTTCATCTCTCACGAAAAAATTAACGGTTTTTACCGTGCGATTAAGGAAAGTGACCACAGGCTTTGAGTTAGTATTGGATCCGGCTTCTCTGCTCCCTTCTCATGCTTCCATCCGTGCTCCCACTTCATCATACGGCTGTTTTATTTTTCTTTTTCCTTTCTAATCTAATTATCCCCCTGATTTTAAAAAGAGCTTGACACCCAAGTAACCGCCGCCGTAGTGCCAACGATAATACTATAGTTGTGCTATGGTATTGTCTTCTAGCCCGTCCTTGCATCCCTGCCAATAGAGACCTGATGGGCATCGTAAATGGCAAAGAGACCAAGTTCATGATCATTTTTTTATCTTTATACCCTGCTGCGAGGTAGTCTTCCATGCCGTAGTCAGGTTTTCCTTCAACTAAGTGAAATGCACGTGTTCTTGGTTTTCAACTTTCTCCGTCTTGTTCCAGTGTTAGAAGATTATGAATTAAGACATGTTGCAGTCTTTACATGGATATAAACGAATCAGGTCAGATTATATCGACACAATTGTCTTAATAAAGAACTATAATAATTAAATGTTGATCGAGTAAAAAATTATCATGAATAATCGAGATATCTGTTGCATTCTTAGCTACCAGAGCAGCCTGTGGGACTTACCCATAGAAGAAGATCATGATTATGTTTTGCTTTCCTTGTAAACGGCATGGTTGAGAAAATCATTTCATGATTTTAAAAATTACCAAAATAGTACAAGTGATGTTGACAATACAAAATGTTGACCTCCTTCGTCGTCTTGTAAGTGAGAATAACCATGTACTACCAAAGTTGTAGTTGGAGGTGGTGGCCTCATCGGCTAGGGATTGGGGCAATATGCCGTTCGGTGCTGGTTACTGTTGTGGGCATATGGGCTCTCGCCTCTCGGGGCGCAATGTAGGCCGTCATAGGCACCTCATGGACGACGTCTTCTTCAAGTCCGGGTGATTCCTGCTGATTCTTAGGCGCTATGCGTGGAGGGTGCGTTTAACCCAGCTTGAGGTGAAGTTGGGGTTGTGCTGTTTTGGTGTCCCGTGTTGGTTGTGACGCGGTCATTGATCTTACATCCTCGTCATTGTGTCTTTGAGGTTCGACTAGACAAGTTGTTTTGTCATTGTTGTCATGGTGTTGTTTGTTTTATGCCGATAGGCGTTGCATAGCCCGTTTGGCTCTTCTTCTATGATACTGGTGCACATTTTCCATGGTGTATCCTTGAAAAAAAAAAGATATTAAGAAAGCAGCTCCAAGAAAAGCACATGAAACTAATCCCTGGCTCTCAACCAGATATTAAGAAAGCAGCTCCAAGAAAAGCACATGAATCTAATCCCTAGCTCTCAACCCTTGCTCCTATTTCATGTTCTCCAATTCGGCACAAATGTGCTTGTAATCGAGTGTATCTGAACCAATTACACCAATCCACTGAATCCCAGCGGGTGAAACTATTGCCCTACTAACAAACAGGAATAGACCCAGGGAGAGTTTGTTACAGATTTTTTTTACAGTATTTGTTTGTCGAAATTGCGTCCCGAGTCAACAAATGGCAAGAAGGATGGGGTCAAGCACTGTACATAGGTCTTGCAGAATTCTGGAGACTGGAGAGTGCTACTGGTATTTCGAGTTGTTCTATCTATCTACTAGTTGACATCTGCATACATGTAGTACATGCGGCTGTTCTGATAAAACTGCAGTTCTCAGGTAGCTAGCAAGACGGTAGCTTGGCAAGATTACAGCGTACTTGGTAGTACACAGATTACTGCAACCGCCCACAACACAAGTTACTCCTTCCGCAAGCCTTTCACGGACGCGTTCACCTCTCGAACGTCCTCGGTGCTAGGAGTAGAGCCTGTGATGTGAAACATGGCGGTGAGAGAAAAGTGTGTGGCATATATGGATACACATACGAAAAAAGGAAGAGATCCAGAGGAAAATGACGGTGGAACCCACCCACCCTTACCCGTGGCCGGTGCTAATCGCTTCTGGTCTCTGAGGCAATTGACATTGCAAACATTTTGACCCACCATGGGCTCAACCTCAACCTTTTTCCTTTTCATAACCTTCATTTTCTGGTGCAATTTTGGTATTGCGTTCGCAAAAGCTGCAGGTTCAGGGCAGTTGAGTAGGCATACATTCTGAACCAAACCAGAGATAACTCAACAAGGCTAGTACTTCTCCAGTAGTAGCTAGCAGCACTATCTAGACAAAATTTTAGTGTAGGGATATGATCTTTGTGATTTCTGTCAAGCATACTGTTAGCCAAGTTCAGCTGTAATTACCAGAAGCAAAAAGAATAGAACATTGCCAGACAAAAACTGACAAGTCATAATGAAGTGTGAGAACCTTCTGATTGCTAAAGCCAACACATTAGACCAAAAAGATCAGCAGATGACTAAAGCTTGATGGTCTATTGAACCGTTGTTCAAAAATCAATGACTACATGGCTAATACTAATAGGTGCAGCATTTACTACCAAATCACTAATTAGTATCTCGATGGTCTAACAAGGAGACAGGGAAGAACATTGACTTCAGGGCTTGAGGTGGTAACAAATCATATCTGGTGTGCGTTTCACACAAGAACCCTTCACCAATCATCTCAACTGGTGAGTGTCCAAATAAATAATTCAACAAAGTGAAAAGTTCTGATTATTTTGAGAAAAAATTATAAATCTAGTCATCTTATTTAATGGATATACATAAGCTTGTGATATTCAGAAAGCAAAATAAACCAAAACTTTGGCATGCCATCAACGTTGAAGTCAAAACTGCAAGCTGAGAGTACTAATACAACATTGGCGAGCAACAAAAGCGTAATTCAGACATACAGCATAAAGCTGCTGAACGTTGGAAGTTTACATCTAATTGTGTATTATTTTCTTTGCTCTTTACCCTTTACTTGAGGTATTCATTACTGAATCTAGTGGCATACCTTGAATATTCTCCTGAACAGATTTGTCTTCATACAACTTCAGTACTTCAGCGATAGAGGAATTAAGGTTACTCTTGTATGTAGCTTGCCTTTCCAAGTAAGTAATTTCTCTTCTAAGTTCTTCAGATTCCATGTTAGCCTAATTAAACAACACCAGAGTTCGTTAGATTAAGTGTAGTAGATATTATCATCAAGCTAACTCTTTACGAGTTAGGTACTTACAACTGCCAACTTTTTTCTCAAAAAATTAAGTTCTGCATCCAGTTCCGAATCAGAATTCCCATCTTTATGCAACACCATTGCAGAAGAATTATCCTGATGAAAAAAATATATAATTAATTAATTATACTCATTTACATGCCTCTTGGTTTTTGAAAATGCAGGTTGTAAAGTAAATATAAATAATGCATGGCTTCAGTGAACCCAAATAGGCTTTTTAGGTTGGGCTTCTAGAATAAGCTGGGGAAGGGACAGCTTATTTCCACAGCCAGCCATAAGCCCCAAAAGAACTGGCCCTTGACCTTAAGCTTAATTAAATGTTTCATACTGATTCAGTTTACTAGACATAAGAACTGAACTGCGGATGGTTATGACTTACTACTTGGTTAATATTAAACTTCTGTTTCCCTAGAAACAGTTAAGTAAAATGCTGTAATTGATGTTGAGTAAATCTATATTTGCCTGTTAGGACATCTGAAATTGAAATCTAAGTGGAATATTTTCGACAGAGATGGATAGAAAACAGAATTACATTAATATATGCTAAGCATATAACAGAAAAAAAGTATCCTATTTCAATACAACGACCTACAAATTAATGATGCGCATTAGTCGGGCAATTTAAAATAAGATACAATAAGAAATGTTCAGATATATTTTTTCCTGAGAATCAGAAGGTCGTGCTGATATTAATATTTATTATATTACTTCCTAGTTGAGCATAGCGTACACCATTGGCACTTAGAAAAACTGCAATTGAATAATGTCAGGAGCTAAGACATAGATAAACTAAAGCTCAAGCTTTCATAGTTGAGACAGAGCCTGAAAGTCAGAAATGATGGAATGCTAATCAATATAGAGTAGAGACCAGAACTCAAATTCTCTAATTAGCTTACAAAGTAGTTCAAGCTTGACTGGTATTAACTGTGCATAACTTTTATCTTGAAAGGTTTCCTTGTCAATTGCTGAGTAAACTGAATTAAATACTTTTCACAAAAGGGTGAATCAGTATAAGATAGGGCATCAGTTTCTACATTATGAACCCCCAGGACAAAAAGTATCTGAAGCAATAATCTATAGTCAATCATGAATTGTGTGGATCAAAGTGTTGTGTGGGTCAAATTGGCAATTCTGGATTGAAAATAATAATAATTACTTTGAGATAAGAGACATACATCTTCAGGCGCCACAAATCCTTCAGGTACAGTTAAACATTTCCGAAGGCAATACATCTCCCAATTGTTCATTCTTTTGTTCAATACATCCGTTACCAAGTTGCAAATTGCATTTACTCCCTAAGACAAAAATCATCACGAAGTTCACATTTCAGAAGTCTCCAGCAGAAGTTTTGACCAAAAAAATACAGAACATTTAATCATATGTGTTACAAAAGGCCTTTAGCAAAAGAGAGAACTCAATGGCATATAAATATTACATAAGAAAAATAAATCAGGTTTTAAATATCTTAAAGCATGCTATAGGTAAATCCAGATGAATTATAGCCTTATAGGTCGAATCTAAGTTATGATGAGAATTTTCTAACTGTCTCAAACTTCCATTCGGTAATCATTTTACATTCATAATTATAATGCCTTATATCAAATGTGTTACAAAGAATATCTCATTCCTGGCACAATGAAGTACCAAGACACAGTTTGCAGCAGAAGAATTAATATCCATTTGCTACAGAAAGGGATCACCAAACATGCAAATATAAGAGCCATATACCCTACACATGAAAGACACATCTACTTAGGCAGTTAAGGCAACATCACTGCATCAATTTCCTTTGGAATGGTATACTCCAACATAATAAACATATCTATACATGGCAGATACAGTTTAGTTTCCTCCACTGTGGAAGTACAAGGAAAACAAACTCATCTTGACCTGAGTGATAGCAAGTTGAGATCAAACACACTTGATCTATTAGCACTTGGGCATGTTTATACAGGTTACAGAGAGGCACTTGGCCACGATGCCAGACGTGGGCTGGCCACAATCAGGAGAGGAACATGCGTGTTGACTATGAAAACTACACACATACACTAGCCATATACTGCAGTCAGTATTCTGACAGTGAGCATGCCACTGAGGCCGTTTAGTTCAGATTCAAACCTAATAATTTCCATGTGTAATCACTGAATTAGATGACGTAACATTATTAGCATGTAAAAAGTAACTACTCTGGCCAGGAGACCATTTAGAATCTGGTAGTGCCCTGAATGCTCCAAAATTCCAAAGGAGGGTTCAGTTATATTGGATCCCGATGTTGGAAAAAACCTACCCATTCCAGCTCCTCGGCCTTATTGGTCGCTGTGGCGGCGCCAACGGCCGCGGGGGCGCCTTCCCTGTAGAATGGCAGCGAAAGGGCAAAGTTAACAAAACCAGTAGGCGGCAAAGGGGGGAAAGTGAGCTGGTGTTATGGAGAGGGATCCTGAGGCATAACTGGAGGCAGTACTCAAAGGCCTGGAAGCGGACATCATCAACCATGTTGAGGACCTCATTGATGAAGATCTGAGGGCTCAGCCCCAGCTCCGCCTCCACCGCCGAGGTCTCGTCACCCCCTTCCATTCCTCCTGCCACCCACATATGAATCAAGAAGAAACAAAGGTAAACCCCAGGTTCAGGAGGAATTTCACTAATTGTTATTACATTCATTGGAGTTTGATTATAACTATAAAGTTGATTTTTTCTTGACAAAACATGACAAGGAACTAGATTGTGAGAGATAATTAGTGCTAGGGAAAAAGAAGATTCCCATATACACAGGTCGTATACACGTACATGCCTGGTGATCGGCCATAGCTACCTACATCGCTCCATGCCTCCACCCAAACCTAGCGCCTCTTCAACCCTAGGCGATCAACTCATCATCCGTTGTGGCGCCGGCAAGTCAGGTCACCAGCAAATCCTCATGTTGAGGCGAACGTTCGTAGTACTCTCGTCTGTAGCAGCATGCTAGCATGATGAATCTAATCTGCTTAGAATATTTTGTTAGGATGCAACATAGTCCACACGCCATAGCTAGTGTATTCTTCCAGCAAGTAATTATAGGATTTAGATTCATGCAACTTCTTGCGTACGTATGCATGCCCTTGGAAGATTACAGCTAAAAAAAGCAACGACGGGACATGCTGCATATTTTTTTAGAAGACCGGAGATGTTGAATATTAGTATGAAGGTGACTGAGTTGGAGGACAAGAATATGTGTGCCTCTACTAGCAGAAAGAAAGCAAGTACGACGTCTCAGAGCTGGGTGGCTGAAAGAGCAACAATCCTTATTGAACATGCACCTAAAATAAGAGAGTGGACAATGAGAACAAATGGCAAGAAGAATAGTTTGTGATGAAAAATAAATAACAATTGTCAATAGTAAGAAATTTACCTCATCCATAACAAATTGTGGTACTGTTGTAGGTAATCCTGCACCTTAGGCTTTTCGGTTATTACAAGGTTCATATGATAATCATATGACGACTTCTTATATGCCTTACAGCAGGCCACATGCTGAAAAGTTTTCTGGAATTTATTAACTACAATTCCCATAAGTTGCCTAAAACATTCTGTTTGCTTGGCATCAGCAAAAGCATTGTTCACTGCATTTTTCTAACCCCTTGCAAGCATCTGTGCATACAGCCAACACAGGAAGATCACCTATTGCCTTCTTTGGTTGTCTCATGAACCAAGTTCAGTTTTCTTCATTGAAAAAACTAAAAGCCACAGGAAACATCCAATTATGTCCATCTAAAGTTGTAACCGCAGCGAGGTGCCCATTCCACTTGCCATTCAAATGAGCCGAGTCTATACTTATGTATGATCTACACCCATTCAAAAATCCATCTATGCAAGGCTTAAATGCAATGAACAACTTGGCAAAAAAACATATTACCGTTATAATTGGCTTTTTAGATTAGTCGAGTTTATAGTTAGTAGCGATCTCTACAACACTTCCTGGTGATCTCAACTCAATTTCAGCTTTGAAGTTATGAGGCAATCAAAAGCTCTCTTCCCAGCTCCCATATAGATCAACAATAGCTCATTGCCGACCTTTAAACACAGTGTGATATGGAATCGTGGCATTATAGCCGCTCTGAGACTTCGTTTGTAGGAGATAGCACTTATGTTTGATCTATATGGGAGCTGGGAAGAAAGTTTTTGATTGCTTCATAACTTCAAAGCTGAAATTGAGTTGAGATCACCAAGAAGTGTTGTAGAGAGAAGAGCACCACAAGTATAAACTCGACTCATCTAAAAAACCAATTATAGACGATATATGCTTTTTCACAAGTTCTTCATTGCATTTAAGCCTTGCATAGATGGATTTTTGAATGGATGTAGATCATACACAGGTATAGACTCGACTCATTTGAATGGCAAGTGGAATGGGCGTCTCGCTGCGATTAGAGCTTTAGATGGACATAATTGGATGTTTCCTGTGGTTTTTAGTTTTTTTAATGCTGAAACAGAAGAAATCTAGACTTGGTTCATGAGACAAACAAAAAGGCAATAGGTGATCTTCTTGTGTTAGTTGTATGCACAAATGCTTCAAGGGGGTGGAAAAAAATGCAAAGAAGAATGTTTTTCTTGATGCCAAGTAAAGAGAATGTTTTAGGCACCTTATGGGAAATGCAGTTAAGAAAATTCCGTGGTGAAAACTTTCCGCGCATGTGGCCTGCTGCTAAGGCACATAAGAAGTCAACATATTATTATCATATGAACCTTGTAAAAACCAAAGAACCTAAGGTGCATGACTACCTACAACAATACCACAATTTGTTATGGATGAGGTACATTTCTTACTGTTGTCAATTGTTTACTTATTTTTCATCACAAGCTATTTTTCTTGCCATTTGATCTCATTGTCCACTCTCTTAATTTAGATGCACGTTCAACAAGGATATCAAGGTGGACTACATACACAATAATCTTGCAGAATGTTTTAATAGTTGGGTCAGGGAGATAAAGGATTTGCCAATCGTCCAACTTTGTGACAAGATGAGAGAGATGGTTATGGAGCTCTTTAGGAAGAGGAGAAGGTAAAAAATTCTGCCAGGCATCATTAAACAATAAAACGATAGGACTAGAGGATTAGGCTATCTCTAAAGGGATTGGCGTCCAAAGTCACTGATACAGAGAAAGATCCCACTATAAGGCATGTAGCCCAAGGCACACGATAGTACTTGCATGGAGTGGCAACATAAAAACAAGCGATGTCCACATGCATTAGTTGTTCTAACTGCACCGTCTAATGTCAAACTGGAGGACTTTGTTGACAATTACTACTCGATGAAAAAAAATTCAGGTCTGCATATCAAGGGGAAATAGAACCACTCAGAGAGAAGACTCAGTGGCCTGCAGTGGATCCAGGTTTTATTCTGCAAGCAACACTACCAAAGCAGGTGCAGGAAGGCATAGGAAACTAAGGATAAAGGCTGCTCTTGAGGGGGTTCAGGTAATAAACCTAAGGTAGGTTGAAAGAACATATGCAAAAAATGCCATGAACTTGGGCAAAGGGAAGCTGGATGTCCTTACAATGGGGCAAAGAAGAGGTGCAATCACTTATCCAACTTCTGCAAAATATGTCCTTACAACCTTGTGCAAATAAGTGTGCGCTTTATGTGATAGGAAAACTAGGAGAAATGAGGCTCCATGGGAAGCTCCAAGTAGTCCTCACCTGTCAGAAGAAGGTACATTACCTACTTGCTTTCTTATTTCAATGTTTTATGATATAATTTCTATTTCCAAGGAAACTGCATTATCCCATGGGCCGGTTACAAGGAGCCAAACTTGAATGTCCCCTCCGAAGACTCCATCCAAATCTCCCGCAAAGTCAACAATGAAACCTCCCAAAAAGCTCACGCCGGAGAGGAAGAAACTCAATCTGTGATATTTGTTTCATTCATTAGAGAGAGTTATTTTGTGTTGCTATCATTTGAACTTCTTTTCTATTAAGTTTGTGGTGTTTGAAGTTATTTTCTAATAGTTATGTGAGATGTGAACTCACCTCAACAAGTAGATGGTCAAAGCATAAGCTACTTATTATGTCTTTTTCTCGATTCAACACTCTGGATGACACTTTAAACTACTCCCTCCGTTCCAAAATAGATTACTCAACTTTGTACTAATTTTATACTAAAGTTAGTACAAAGTTGAGTCATCTATTTTGGAACGGAGCGAGTACAATTTAGTCATTTTGAGATATTCATCATGTGTTTGAATAATTATTGTGTGCGATTGATTCATGTATATGATCTGTGTGTACGTGGGCATCTTCTTCTTTTTCCCTAGCACTGATCATCTCTCATAATCTAGTCCCTAGTCAATGTTTTGTCAAGAAAAAATCAACTAATAAAACTCCAACGAACTAATAACAGAGTCAAATTCCTCCAGGCTCAGTTAAGCGTCCATGAGTGGCAGGAAAGCGAAGTGCAGGTAACAACAGTGTAGAGTGGGAGCAAAACCGAACCTCCTTCTCCTGGGGTTTGCTTGTTGGGCCCGAAGATTTATCTCAGGTTCTCGGATGCCTCCTCCAGGGGTAAGTTCTCCTGTAGCAGAGAGGGGATAGCAAGAGCTTCACGAACAGAGCAACACGGGCAGCACGAACTCCAAATCGAACCGAATGGAGAGGGAGAGAAGGGGGACCTTGTTGATGAGGCCCATGGCGTCGACGCTAGGGTCGGAGCAGCTGAGCCGCAGCGAGCTCTCTCCTCACGCGGAAGAGCGGCGTCAGTCCGAGAAAGGAAGCGGTGGCCGCCTCCTCCTCCTCTCCTGGCGCGCGAGCGACTGGAGAGAAGCGGCCGGCCTCCTTCGCGTGACGACGGCGCGGATCCTGAAGCGCC